AAAAAAAAAGATCTTTAAAAATTAACCAAATAATTGTCAAAATCGTAAAACTAATTAAGTACGATACAACACATTTACGTATATCAGTACAATATTACCTCATCGTACTGGAATAAATCTATTAAATAAATTAAATAAATTATTATTATTAAATATTATTATTATCTATTAAATAAATCTATTAAATGTTGTCGGATATTTATTTTTTTTCCCCGAATAATTTTAGCATATTTTGTTTTGTTCATTTTATATCTGCAATATTATATTTTTTAAGACATTCGGCGCGTAAGCTGCTGTGATTGTTTTCACAACTAACGAATGATATTATTATACTCAGATAAATGTGTTAAATAAATAACTATCTGTGAATGTTAATACCATCGGTTTCACATAATATGCAATACGTCGTACACAATATTTTCGTACAAATTTGTAGCTATTGTTTCATCAATACTCCATAATACCGTATAATTTGTCCCACCGCGTTTTTGATTAGATAATTAATTAATTACAACTCACTCGCAACACGACGCGACTCGACAATCGAATCGTAGCCGTTCTAATATTATTGTTGCGATAAATCTTTACGAGTAATTGGACATGCAGCTGCAGCAATCTGATGTTACGATTAAAACACCACCTACATGATACATCCGTTCGCTAAAAAATCTAACCGATAGAAATTTTATGCTGAAATAATAATATTAATTTAATGATAATTGGACGGACACAGGCCCACAGTATATTTATTTGGGCTCTCAAATTTAAAAGATTAACAGATCCCTATTTCTTGCAATATTTTTCACACTGCAGTTTCGTTTAAAACTATAAAATTATTTCACGATCCGATATAATAATATTAACATCAGTATAGCAATAATAATAATAATAATAATTGATAAACACACAAGCATCCTTGTCGTATATCCTTAAATACTTTCAATTTCTTTAAAAAAAATTATAATTATTTTATAGATCAACTAAAGAGCATTTTCGGTATAACTTTAAAATACTCAACTATTTTCTTTGTCAATGTGTTTAACTTTTGGTTTTCATTCATTATTCATAATGAAAAAATTCCTAAATCATTATATATATATTCTCAAATTTTATTTTCAGTTTATGTGATCAAAATAAAAATTGAAAATTKTATTCAAGTATACTTTACAACACTGCTCACAAGCCACCAATACCACGAACCGTAGGTATATGATTATATTATATTATGCTTATTAAAACTAATAACGTATTTATATAGTGTAGGTCTGTGAATCTCAAGCTTCTTTGGTTCACGACACACAATTATACATCACACGTTTTCGCGGCACACTCAACACAAATGTGATGAAATAAAGTACTGTTTTCAATATTTTTTACTAGTGATTAAACCTGCCTACTTTATAGTCAGAGCAACGATATCAGCTGGTTTTGATACTAGCCACTATGTATACCTTTAAATCAGACCTGGGTGGYGCCTCGACCTTACACCAACGTCACAATACGTAGTTTTTGTACTTCTCAATAATATGGTACTGGATATAATATTCCTTAACTCCAATATGTGTACCTAGCCTATAGATAAGTATGTAATACCGTCGTAAAAATTGATGAATTATGGATCGTCGCGACGTTTTACGACGACATAGAGTCGCGCACAAAATGATATACTTAAGTAATATAATAACACGTATGGTCGTYGCGCRCGGACACGTCGATAACGCTTGGCATCGTGTCAGTATACGTTTATATAGGTACAGGGTGATTCACCAAGCAAGCACATCGTCTTTCTTTTTTTCGTTTACCTATGGATTTCTATTCAAATTCTGGTTTTTAGAATTTTTAAATATATTTAGGGGCATAAAACTTTCARTTTTCAGAAATTTGTGTGTATTAGAGACGTTTCAGGACACAAGGTAACATACTAACAATACTAAGTTGTTTTAGCCGAYGCCCACCCCCAAATAGTTTTCAAATATTAAAATGTTTATACTAAGATTAAAAAGTTCATTAAGAACGATTTTCAAAAAATAAATAAATTTATGTAATATCGAACCTAGTATTTTTAATACTTGGACTATTTGTATTAACTATAATTAATATTAATGGATAATACTAGGCACTAATATTTTTTAATTAACTTAGATCTTAGATCTCCTATAAGGCTATAACCCATTATTAGATATTCGCATGAATCTATAATTGTATATCCTTAATATACTTTGTTAAAAAAAAAACCCCTAACATTTTCTGAATTTCGATTTTGATACGTCAAAATTTCCAACAAAATTTTCTACTAAATAATTTAGAGTAGAAAAGGTGTGTGCTTTTATTTGAAAAACAGAAATTTCTAACTCCATAACCCACTCTTCGAGTAAATTATGTACAAAAATTCTTGAAAATGACATATAATTGTCGTTCAAATACTTAGTATAAAAATTCCAAAAATCAGATTTTGAATGACCACATTGTTGGAGAAATAGAAAAAGCGATTGGTCAAAATGTCATACTCGTTGAATCACCCTGTATAATTTAATATGAAAMCATGAGTATAACGTATTTTTATCTCTTACGATTGACGAAACAAACTGTAGATCGGGAACGTGATCATCGGCCGCAGACGGCGGGACAGGCGCCTAGATACAATAATGCTCGGCCCACGCGATTATCCGAGTGGACTAAAATCTCATACGACGTCTTCATTACGTAATAATATCATGTAGGCACATGCCGTCGAATATTATCGTCGTGAACGTGTCGATATAATGACGTGTAATCGACAAAGACCAAAATTCCCAAATATGGTAAACGCATTTTCAGCACTCCTATATTGGCTTTTCTGCAGTCGGTACGGTGTTTCGACTAATTTTAAAAGGATGTTTGTTGTTGTTCTTCTTCTTTCTCCTCCTCCTTTTTCAGTATATATTGCCTATCGACATTGTAGACAAATCAAACAAAACCATAGGTTTTATTCATCGAAATCGTCTTTACTTTAAATATGATGACGATGGCCGTTCTTTAAAATACATTTAGATGTTGCGCTTTGATCAATTCTATTTGTAAATATTATGACATATGCATGCCAAGCAATATAGTATCCATACAAATCAGATCTCAAATAATTTGTAAATAAAAAAAATTAGTACGATTCCAGTAGGTAGTTCAAAATTTCAAATTATGTTCCACACCAGGATCCGCATTTTTCCGACCCTAAAATGTTATATATTATATACAACGAAACTCGACTCATTAGCTGAAACAACATGTTGTTTCCCATTTTAGATTTATGATAAGTTATCATTGATAACTTTCAACATACTATAAATTTCATCGAAAATAATATTGACCGTCCAAAATTCTTAAATCGTTTATCTTTCCAAACTCTTACTCGGAGTATTCAATCTAATGATGCGCATTTTATCTGAACATGAAGTAACTGATTATGCAAAGAATAGATACGTTGGAAAATTGATAGCGGTAAATTAATTAAAAATTAATTTGTTCATCATACCAAACTATGACTTTTCAAAATATTGAGTATTTTTTAATTTCATAATTGATCTTGATCATCGACAAATATGGCCATTAGCCTTTTGTAATTTCACACAAAAGAAATGGTAATTTTTCATATAGGTAGATAGCTGTTAGTATTTATTATTTTATTTTTAACTAATAGGTATTGTTTGTTATTACTTATTATCTAAGTTATGTGATATTGATTCTGGCTGGTTAATACCTCAAATAAATAATCGCACAAAAACGAGTTTCTATAATTACGGACAATTTTATCATTGCAATCTTAATCGACACGATACCACTTTCATCGATGTCTTCAAACATGTCTTGTTTCGTGACAGTTGATTCAAAAATTCATATATTTACTTGGAGTTATTAAAATATCAGAAACTATACGGTTTTTATGTATCACCTACTACCTAACGCGTGTGTAAGTGTATTAAACAAATATTTTTTTTAAATAATTTTTACGTGTATCGCGCTTAACTTACTCACCTCTGCTGTTTGGTCTATATAATAGTGCATACCTACTTATTATTTATTTTTTAACGATATTTTTTTATAGTTGGTCATATTTTTTTTATGTGGAAATGCTTAAAAAAAAAATTGTTGGATAATGACGTGAATGACATCTATTTAGAAGACGTATCTTCTGTTATAAACCAGAGTAAACATCCACAGATTTGTAAGTATAAAATAATATTAATTTCTATTAAAAAAAAAAAATAAGATATTATTATTTATTATCGCAACTATAAAATATTCAATACTTGTATCAAATCTCTATAAATCTAAAGTGTATATGAAAAAAAAAACACTTAACTACGTAATAGTATTTTTATTTAACTTAATAATAACTACACGTTTTCAAAAAATATCATTACATTTTTGTTTTTGATAGGCATTCAATGCCGAATTGATATTGTAATTTAAAATAAATATCTATTGTAGTTTGATCAATAAAAATCTTCCTTTTGAATTTTTACCAAAAAAAGTTTTGAAAAAAATCATTAAAAACCAAAAAATGAGTCACAAAATACAAACTTATATAATATACTCGAAACAAATTTTAAGCTTACATTAAAATGTAGGTATAAAATCAATATTAATTCACACGTCTTATCAAAAAATGAATTTTTTTTAAATATGTTGTTAGCCCCCTCTCCGTATACTATCATAAGTAAAGGTGTTATGGAACACAGCCCTCTAACGGTTTCGTATCTCGTTTCATTAATCTAACTGCTTTTACGTCATTGTTATGATTTTTTCTAATAATACTCGATAAGTACCTTCGTATTCGGATTCACCGTCGACCAGCCGCACCATTCCCTCGAGACTCTTGTGATTTTTCAAATGGTTTTTGATCACGTTCATCTTCCAATGGTGTCTGCGCTTGTCCGCTCGTCGACAATCGATCGTCGGCCCAATCAGTGACAACAGCCCCAGTACCAGCACGGATACAGCCATCAAGACCTCCGCCGCGGGACGACGGCCGTTGGACGTCCGCAAACCACGACCGCGGTAACCTGACGTCGTGGCGCTGGTGACCATGACGTGTTATGTAGACTGCCGTGGACCGGTTGATCGTGGCGAGACGCGCGTGATACTGCGTCGATCGTCGTGTGGTTTGCACGGACGAAACCGATATTATATTATGGTCTCAGATCTTCGTTCCCACCACGTGCACGTGAATCCCCCCGAACGGATATTATTCTCATCGGAAGATTAAAAAATATTCAATCTTTCCCCACACACGGTCGACTACAGATTTCGTCCACCTACATCTACACTAATCGATTTTGCAATAAAGTGCACGTCAAATGATGGTTTGATTTAATCATTTTTTTCGATCGGTTTTGTTCTTTCTTCGATTGCAATTCATATCAATTTTTAAATGTGAAATCCACATTATTAAACTCGCTTTAAAAAATAAACATATAAATATCCAAAATATTCCCAAACCTGAAGATGTCACGACAATCACCCTATGCGAGATATTCTGTAGATAATATATTACAATATCAAAATCGGTCCCAATGAAGGTGTTTAAAATTGCGGGTTATTTATCATAGTGTGACATGGCTTTTAACAATTTTATTGTTATACTATTATGCAGTTGTCTACAAACAGTGGTCAGGGCAGTCTTAGGATATCTTACCGCTATCACTCTGTATATAAAACGTATTCTAAAGGTATAAAATCGTACATTTGTGCCGTCGGAAATAAGTAAGGTCATGGTTTTCGTACGTATACTTAACATAATTTCGGATTCGCGGGTGCAGCACAATTTAATATTATGATATAATTTTAATTGTACCGTCGATAATGCGTTTCGCAGATACGTGAAGACGAGCAAATATGATTACGGATGCACTATATGAAAGCGCTATGTTGTTATAATATTATTATCATTATCTTCATCATCGTCGTCGTCGTTGTGTATATAACGACCTTAAGTTATTATTATCAATATTAAATATGTGTGTTGTATTAGGCGTTATGCGTTATGTTAGTATAATTATAATATATATTTTATTATACTATAATATTTATATATTTTTTTATTATTTAAAGTTTTCCTAAAAATAATCATCTAAATTTAGGAATGCAGAAGTAAGTTTTTGATATTTTGTATATTTGATAATGTTAGGTATAAGTAAGAATTAAGTTTTTTTTTATGTACAGAAAAATAAAAATAATCACATTACGAAGCGATTTAACAATTATACAATTACACAATTAGATAAATACATATAATATACTAATATGCCTATTACATATATACATAAATACTAGTTTATTTATTTAAGATGTCATGAGGACGACCACGTGGGAGTCCACGATTGATTGTCCAGATTATTGATATTTCAGTCTATAATACTGCGGACCACATGCTTTTTTCAATTGACTGAAGAAGCTTATTGATAGTTCCTTAATGTACTCTTTAATAGTTTGTAACTTTAACTCTATGTGCAGTGCTTCATTTCGAATAAACCAAGGGGCATTTGAGATTGCTCGTCGGATTTTAGACTGTAGGACTTGAATTTTTTTTATGTAAGTCGTAGCAAATTGAAGAATAATATATATTTTACGGGCAAAATAGGAAATCAGGCATTGTGTGCAATGCCCGATTTTCAAGGGCAAAGTTGGAATAAGTTAACATTACCCGGACATTTTGTACAGTGCACAATTCGATTTGGGCACTGTAGATTAAATATATTAAAAATTAAATAAAACATCTTACAGAGTACTTAAAAAGTTGTTTTCCACTAATTTTATCAGTTACATCACTTTTTCGTCTTTCTCGTTTATGTTTTTGATGACAGCTTCACAGTCTAGAGCTTTTTCCAAGTCTCCCTCTGATTTTAAAATACAGATACAAAATATGAACACAGATAATACATTTTAATTTAAAAGAGGTAAAATTAATTTTAATTTTTAAACTAGCGGAGCTAAATGTAATCTGCTGAGCGTAAATTTGCCATGTTACGCACTTGCAAGACGGAGACAACACATACGGATATGATGGCTTTAGTGGAATCCTCTTAACTAATAACAGACTACGTGACGTCACTGTCGTGATCATTCGAAAATATCGAATAGTAATTTTTCGATTCGATTTTGAAATATTATCTAGATACCTAGCCATAATGTTCGTGTAATATACTATGTGATCAATTTATCGTTAAGATTACGGATCGGTTAGTTTTATCGGTAGCTGCATGTCACGTTGCCGCGTACGAATAACATATCTATGTATGTATAATTTTGTGGTGATATTGTTACGTATAAATACAATTCGATGTAAATTTATGCTGCGCGCTGTATTTAATTTACTTTTCCTTCTATCCGGACAATCTAGAACAATGCTCTGTCAATGTACGAACAATTTTAGTATTAAAATGACGATTCTTACATTGCCAAAAATATTCGGGCATTATGCACAGTGCCCGGGCATTGTTGTACAGTTCCCGGATTTCCTACTTTGCCCGTTACATACATATATATATATATGCACGCAGTTAATAATATTATAATATGATAATATAAATTATAATACCCTCATCGACAACCCCGGTGTATATTATTATACGTATACTTACTTGAAACTCTGCGAAACTAATCGGACGGCAATTCGCCCAAATCGCGCCGTTCGATCCGTATTATAGGTACTTACCTACATTACATGCGCCGTGTTGTAAAACGCCATCGCTAGTTGGCATTTAACTTTGATATAATAATAATAGGTAGGTACTCGTCTCGAGCTTTTGCAGTGTTCGACATCGACAACAACAGTCGTACGGTATACAAGAGACCTCCGACAACGCGATGTGTACTCTACACGCCATCATCATAATACGACTATAATGATACCGTGGTATACGCTGGTGATGATAAAATAGTATACCGTGGTATACGATGGCGATGATAAAATAGTATAGGTAACGTACATACGCGTTACACGCATTACTTCCGAAAATAATTCGGAGATAGCACAACAGCTCTCATCTTATATAAATGTGTGCACACATATTATACATAATTTATACTCACAGGAATATGGCGCTGCAGAGTATTGTCTAAATGTAGAAACGCGGCGCATTTGTTTCAGGGCAGATGGACGAAAAACAAAAAACACTGAAGAAACACGCACAAAAAAGTTGTGAGTACCTCGCAAACACAAAGGACCGGGTGAGAGACTTTTTTTTTGTATTCTTCTGTTTAGACTCCACGAGTTGTTAGCTTTTATTTTTCGTTCTTCATCTAAATACCGTTTTTTTTTTTTTTAAATTACCAGCTATGTTTACGAGTGACATCTTTATATTATTATACACTGTTATTAATTATTGTTTAAAACAGTGTGGGTGTTTTGTTCTTTAAATACATATAAACAATAAGTTTATTCTCCATTTAATTCTCGCCAAAAATTATGTGACACAATAGAGACTCTCATGTTTGGACATTATAATATTTTACGTCAACTGACCTAATAATATTATGAATAGGTATACGTAGAAAACCCTTCAAATGAAATACACCGATAGATCTAGGACAAAACGCAACATTGAAATTATGTCTTTCGTCGTTGATCTAATACTACGTGAATCATGATGACGAGAAAAGGGATTTCCGAGAGTGTAATTTATGCGAAACTAGTTAATGTCTAAAATATTATAATAATACGGTATGGGAAGTACGATTACAATAATTACTTTGTCATACACTCTAAAGTTATCTAAAACTAATACATTATGTTATCACGAGTTAATAATAAGTTTTAATATGCATCCCGAAGGCACATTTCAAATATAGGTGTCATATAGACGGGTGCCTCAGGGCTCAAAGCTCAAGCACCCATTGAAATTCTTTTGAGTGGCTAAGCACTCCATTAAAATTTAGATAAAATTGTATTAAAAATTAATAATTTTCTTTAAAAAACAAAACAAKTATTTTGAAAAAATTTGTATTTAACGATTAAATTTAATGAACGATGTACCTATGTATAATATTATGAATAAATTAACAAACAATTCGTGAATAGAGCAAGACGTATCATTATGTTTTTTTTGTATATTCAATTATTTCAACTRTTTTAAAGGTGTTTTCGATATAACAGTATAAATAATGATCTGACGGTTTGCCCTTGATTCTGACTATCTAACTCATTTAAAACTATCAATAATAAACTGTTATGGTCAGTATTATGATGGTAGACAAACATAAGTAGTGGTTGTATGTAACATCATTATTATGAAGAATAGACGATTAAATGCTCTACATACTTTTTTTATGGGGGAGAAGCGCAATTTTCACTTATAGTGCTTCCAAATATGTTTTGAGATCTCGGCGCATAAATCCTCAAACATACTGTGCATAAAAAAACTCGATTAATTCCTTGACTACCTAATCAAACTAACTAAAAAAATATATTTTTAATACTATTATGCACTACGCACAAACCGCTCTACTGTAACTGTTTTGTAATAATAGAAAATGATACTTTGAACACGAGAAGTTTCACAGTTGTTTTCTTAATTTTTTTCTAGGGCTTCTTGGAAGCTGTGCGACCGTTTGAGATTTTACGAGCATGTGGTTTTCCTTTAGATGATCAATTGCGTAACACAACATGTAAAATGTATTATCGTCACGGTCATAAAGTRTRCTCGATATACAGGATGATTATTTTGATACAATTTCAAAAAGYGTTCTTCAATATATTTCACCTTTACTCTTTTAGTTGTCGAATGAAACAATCGATTTTCGACTAGTAGATTTAAGCATACATTATTTTAAATGCTGTGATTCGCCTAAAGTTGTATTATAATACTTTGAACGACAAGAAATATCAAGATTTTAAAAAAGAATAAAATAAAAACCTTTTATCAATTATATAGCAACGAGTTACCATTAAATATTATTTTTAATAGTATAACCATTTTTGTTTCATCCATAATTTTATTTTAAGTACACRCGTACATATTATTATATGCACATTTTTGCGTCTCACTGCACAAMTAGATTTCACGACTGACATTGTTCGGCTAACCCGTCCACTTTGCCTACGAGTATTACTACTCAGCAGTCAAAAACGTACACACAATACACAGGCAGGTC